GTAAAAACATGATCTATCAATTCCTGTACCAGTTTATTTCACCAAAAGAGAGTAATTTACTCAAACATAATTATGCCAAGACATGTATGGAGGCACTCTAAGAACAATTAAAACAGAGAACTTTTCACAATGGGCTCTTCTGCAAAGCAGATATGACTTTTGTATGTTTGAAAAGAATATGCAGATTAGTTAGTGAAACAACTGAGGAAACTCTAGCGTTAAGTGACCTAACACTAATATTTGGTAAGAAGAGATATTTGAATGGCCTAAATTCTGTTTAAATCCTGATACCTTACTCTTTCTAACAGGGGTTCTACCTCTTCAGAGGTGTCCAAACAATAAAAAAGAGTAGGCTCAGTAATTTAAAATGGAATTTATATTGCCAAAATAGCGCCCTACTGTAGTAGATGCTTCCTATTTTAACTTCTTTGGAACAATATTAATAGCTCTATAGATTTCAGTACAAAGATGAATTCAATAAGAAACCTGTTTCTTTAAAATACCCTTTTTTACACAGTTAAGGCAATGAATTAATAATACTGTTTAGATGCACTAAGTATTTATAAGGGTTAGTAGAAATTGAAGACAGAAAAGACATTACCTGCCACTACAACTGCAGAAGACACCTTCAAATTTTCCAGTACTGCATCTACTCAAGTTCCAGTATACCTCTATCTCAGTGTCCTGATTAGGCCTGAAAGTAAATTGGAGAAGATATCAAATAAATTAATCTTAATTTTTCTTGGGATATAGTGCAGGTGGCTTCCTAAAAAAATATAGCTTAAGAAATGCCTGTATTTGTAACAACTTGTAATAATACAAGAACTGGTGCAGTCAAAGAAATAGGAGAATAAAGCATAAGCACTGGGATATGCAGTGTATAGAAGAACCTCTTTATGGAAAAGAAAAGGCTACAGTTCTTAAATCTTGATGAAGAGCAACCTACCTGTCCCCAGTTCCAGCAAACTGGGTTATGAATCCCACTTCTGAGGCACCACATTAGCACTGAAGTAACCAGAGTTCCAATCTCAGCCTTCCCACTCATCTCATGACAATGACAGCATTGCTTCATCCCTAAACTTCACCTTTTCAACTTTTCATCTAAGTACACAGATAATAAAATTTCCTTGCTCCTACCTTGTATTTGTCTAACTCGTAAGTCATTCCCCTTTACTTTCTGCTCCCATCCACTTTTTTATGTAGGGAAAAGTACTGCTTACAAGCTGTTTTTACAGTTTGGGCTCTGCTCTTAGTATATCACTCTTTGAAACATTGTTAACGCAACACAGCCCCCTAGTGTGCATGCAATCCAAGAGTTTAATTCACATGGAATTACGAGGCTCTGACTTTAATCAGACTATACACGGTAACAATTACACTGATTTCACTTAAACAAACCTACCAACCAACAACAACAAAAAAACACAAAACCACAAAAAAAAAGAAGCCAATAATCACGTATGTAGATTGGAAAATTTAATAGCTAAAATAGTTTACATTTGGAGCAGTTCAGCTACCATTTATGAGTGAAGGTCTATATCATTGCAAAAAGATGGAATTAAATCATGGACCTTAATTCTGATGCCTCACATCTTAAGGACTGGAATAACCTGGGGTATCACTTATGTTAAATAATTCTGCACCACTTTCAGCAGTTGGATTTCCCCTACTCAATTCTGTTGTGCCAACACAGCAAATTCAATCACAATGCTGCTCCAGGTTAGGAAAAGCAAATGGGCAGGATTCCCCGCTAGAATGACCCTCCTGATATCCATATAAACACTAACTGTACAACAGTGGTACAGGAGGGAGGAGACAAAGAGGCAGCCAGGGAACAAGCAACCTAACCAAAATGTACGCATAGTTCCTCACCAGCATTCATATTCAGCTTAAATGTCTTTTCCAGTATTTTATTTCTGCCTGCCTTTAAGGTTAGTTTCAACATGCTCAGACTAAACAAGCTTTTCTAGTCATGTCTCATGCCCTGCTTTCCTCTGGTGATCTCAGAAGAGTTTGTCTGCATCTGTTCCACTCCCAACAAACATGCCTTCACTGCAATCATGCAGAACTGCAACCAGTATTCCAGTGAAGTAAAGCTGAGAATTTTTAAGCAAAGTAAGATTGACTGGAGTCTGAAAATGCAAGATGGGATGCAAGACTGTAGATTAGACAATTCACAGCGTTACATCTTCATCTAGAACAACTTTGCAAAACCATTAGATAAAAAAAAACCCAGAAATTCAATTTTGAGACTGACAATAATCAACAGATTCCACGGGGGAAAAAAAATTAGATTTTCCCAAATGTTTAAGAAAACAATGAGGCACTGAATGAACAGATAAACATTTGATTTTGGGGTTGTTTTGGGTTTGGGTTGGTTTTGGGGTTTTTTTTGGGGGGGGGTTGAAGGGTTTTTTAGATTATGGCTTGTGCTGCATAATGTAATAAACATAAAATATGTAAACTTTTCCCTGTTTCACTACAGAGTCAGATTGATTAAGTGGTATGTTGCTAAGCCTTCTTAAAAGCCTCAGATTTTTCTTCAAATTTTTATGTATTCTGTTTACATATTTTAATATTAATGCTAAGAAAGGCTCATGTAACCGGAGAGTTGACCCTTCCCAACCCAAAAAAATCTAGTATTTTATCATTTATATTTGGCCATAAATAAGGTGAACAAACACTCTTCTATATGTATATATGCTGCAGATTAACTTAGCAATAAACATGAAGCTTTATATTACTGGGACTAAATTGTAGGACTTCATAATCAGTTTTTAATTTGGTGTCTATGCTCCTATAGTTACGCTGTTCTTCTTTATGTTTCTGCATCAACTAACCACCTCATCTCCCTTCCTGACTAAAGGGCTTATTTCACAATTAATCTTCAATTATCTTCTGTGAAAAGGGCATATTTACCAGCATCAGTGATCTCATATAGCTAAATCAGTGCTTATAATTTTAAGATGGGCATGTAAAATACAACAGCTTACTATGCACTCATGCACACAAAACCTTTTTTCAGTTGCTGTTTTTAGAAAACCACTGGCAAGCTTTATCCACAGATGAAAAAAAAAATTGCTTAATTAGGGTAACTACTTTTGCAAACTAATATGTAAAAAATAGTAGCAATAACCAAGCAACCATTTACAATCTTTAAGGCTATGACCTTGTAAGGAATCAGCTGGTGAGAAGATATTTTGTCCCATTACAAGGTTCCCCCGAAGTGGCTGCTGTTTTTGAAACCATGCTCCCTCAAATAGGGCTGCAGGAAAGTGCTACCCCGCTGATGCGCTTGGCGATTCACAAGGCAGTGCCAAACTCCTCATGTTTAACACGGCATTTTGACAGCATCCACTTAGAACAGCAGCATCCTACATCACCTACACAGACTATTTGATTCCCTATGTGCTACCTTCTACCACTTAGAAGCAACCTGAAGCTGATCGGTGATCAAAACTTCCATTTACTACAATTAATAATTACAATAATTTTAAACAGCAAAGAACATAATTTATAAAATAGCTTAAAAAGAAGTTACAGCACCAACTCTCTTAGGCAAAATATATTTGAGAGCAAATATGGTAATGAAAAGAGTGTTACAAATGGAACTAATTATTTACTGAGGTAATGCTTGTGATTTGTCTCTCAAAACTTGCATCTTGAAGGCTAATTATTATTCTCTATGAAATCACCAAAACAGCAAAACCTCTAAACAGAAATAAATACTTTTGGCTTTCCGTGGAGTCATGCCTTTTTATTTACCTAATGCGAACATAACCAACTCTCTTCCTCCTCAAAAAAGTACTGTGCTTCATCTATGAGGACAGCCAAAATTCATTAGAAACTATTGGTGTTGCAGTCTAGAATATAATCAAGATCTTTTTCATGCTGACCAATACCCAGCATATAACATTTTTTCCTGTCAAAATGGTTGACCAAAACCCAGTAAGGTTTCTAAATAATTCATTACTTCATTTTACATACAAATTGCCTCTTCTTCCAAGTGAAATAATAAATTTATTTTTTGGGGGGAAAATTACAGACATATTTAAAAGTGTAACAAACAGCTGTATAATAAATATTTTAAATACACTAGATTCTTTTAACTGTTCAGTGATATTACTCAATGCAAGAACTAGGTAATTTAGCTGATCTTCTGTACTATTGCTAAGCAGCAATAGTACAATATCCTAAAAATGAATTAGCATTTGTGTAATCAATCACATTAAGTATCTCATATGTTTTTATTTTATATTACTTTTGTAAACAGCTTAATTTAATTTTCTTGGAATCCTTCTCATATTTTAATTTCAAATTTAATTAGGCTGTAATTACAAATCTTCTGTCATATGCATAGTAATCCTGTTTCCTCTCTGTCATCCTACATATTAAAGTTAGCATATGCAACTTCTTGATATAGACCTTGAAATAATAACCTTTAACAGTTCAACATGCTACAAAACAAACTTTTAGAGGTGACCTGGGAAACCAATAGGAAACCGAATGTCAGTTCAGAACTAAACGTCATATACCTCAAGAGAGTAGGCAGCAGAAGGCAACCACATTCTAGTTTATCATTACTGCTAGCAGTATGCTAGTTGCCAAATAACTGCAAATGTGTTGTTCTGTAGCATCACTGAAGGGACTTCATACATGTGGCTGTATCACTTCTTCTGGTGACAAACAAAATGGCCCTGCAGGTGAACTTTTTCATTTCCAGAGCAGGCAAAGTGAGGTATTCAGTACCTTAAGGATTTAAGTACAGCAGCAGTAAAACATATTTTTGTACTCTGACACAGCTCCACAAGCCTGCCTTTACAAATGAGAACACAGCACATCCAGGTTCTGTCAGCTGTGTTCTAATTACTTTTTTGTCTCTCTGGACTCAAATAAAATGCAAGTTCAGCAAACAGCTAAATGAAATTAACCAAAGACAACACACACAGATTCTCATGTAGTAAAGTTACCTTTTGAATTGTATATATATTTTTTTTTCCTACTTTCACTCTCCATTTGCTAAAAAACAATAGAAAAATGTAGGTGCTGTGGATAACTTTACAGTCAGTTATAGTTTACTCAGGTCACTGCCATCACTTTGGGAATACACACTGAAATTTTCTCAGGTGTATTAAATAAAGGATTTTGTTTATAATCAAATTTTCACTATACTAACATTTTATAATACTGTTGATTCTAGAGGAAATCAACCATACTTTAAGAAATGTACAAGAAGCTTTCTACTGAAGACAATGCACTTGATTACCAATAGAGAAAAGGAAAAGGGTTTAAAAAGAAACAGGAAAAAAGAGAAAATAGAGAATAAAGGGAAAGAAGCAAAGGGATAAAAAGGAGGGAGAAAAAGAAAATTGTAAACCTTGAAAGAGAATTCAAGACATAATATTTGAATAGTACAAGGTTTGCAGTAATATTACAAAATAGCATGTAGAAATTACCTACACTACTGTTTCAAAGTATGTAATTTGTTTTTTAAGTATCAACCAAGGAAAGATCAGGAGTAAAAATATACAATATATCATTTTACTTAACAAAGACTACATTTGTAAACTTCATACCTTTAAAAAAAAACTGATGTGTGCATGTGGTAACCACCACACAATTATTTTAATATGCATTTGATTAGCAGCCAGACACAAAACAAGCACTAATTCTAAAAAAAATTAAAATAATTTTAATTGTTGTAAGATATTACAGCATGAAAATTAATCATAAAATTCAATTTACTTGTAAAGAAATACCCTTGAAATGGATAAAAATAGAATTTTTATTTTAAAACCTCATAAATAAAGTAAATGTCTTTTCTAAAAAGCCATTTATACCGAAATTAGATGGATTTTCCTACTTACAGGGTACATGAAATGACTACATCAGTTGAATGTTAAAAGCTCAAGGTCTTCTCAATTGTTTGATTGCTAAATATTATGCCAAATATTCCAAAAAAAAGCTTTACAGTCAGGAAAAAACCCTGTTTTCTTTATTTTAGTTACAACACAGAAGATAAACAGTGGACAAGAGTGACAAAACTGCATGACGGGCTCTGTCTCTTTCAGGCACTTTCATAACTCTGAAAATAACATGTTCAACTATTTATTTGAAAGGTAAAAATCCTTCCCTTTAGGAATTCAAATTTCAAGAAATTACGTATTCTTTTAAATGAATTATCACTCAACTAGAATACCAACGTTATGACAAGATGGGCCCCAAGAAGAAACAAGCAGTCTCATATCCCTTCCAAACCTAAGCATTCTATGACTCCAGGTCGATACAACAACCTTTCTGGAAGGCACCGGGTTCCTGGCATACGTTGTGTGACTCCTTGAGGAAATGAGCCAGCAAAAGGACACCTCATCTCAGGGAAGCACCAACCTCTGCTTGTGCATGGCATGGAAGCAGCACACTAAAGGCAACAAAACTGATGGATCACAGGTCAGGATACACAATACAGTCTGAATGAGGAATGTCATACTCAACCCAAATACACGATAGCACTGAAGAGAACAGATGTCATCTTCTTCAAAACAAATACTGAAAATTAAACCTAAGCAATCTCAGGGCTGTTTTTTTACATCACCAGCTTTCATCAGGGCCTTAATAGCTCTGGCCCTCATCTCAAGCTCCAGAAGCTCCAGCTGTTGTGCTGATGGTTGAACATCTTCTGATGGAGGAACAGCTAAGGTGGACGCTTTGGGTTCCTTTGGGCTGGACTCTGCCAACCCCAGTATCTCATTCACACTTTTCTCAATGTCCTTCTGAAGGTCATCTATCTGACCAGCTCCACTCCTGACAGTGTTTTCTTGCACATCTGGGCCATCTTCTTCATTGCATGGGCCTTCTATGTCACTATCATATGCATCTGCATTTATGCTGAGGACATCACTATCTTCTCCCTTGCCTGTAACACAAACACAGTGATCACATAGTTTTCTAATAGAACTGTTTTTATTTCAACTTACAAAACCATTTCTGCTTAAAGTACTACTCTAAAGATTAAGAGAAGGGTAAAAAGATCTATGATTATAAAAAACCAATTCCTATTCTTTTTCTCCTTCAACTTTTAAGGCTGATCTAACGTATACAATCGCTAATGCATTTTATGCCAATTTAAAAGAACATGCTATATAGCAAAGCAGCAGTACCAGAAAAATTTATTCTATCCTATGAAGTTACACGATCTATTTTCCTAATTAAAATGTCATAAGATTTTATATCACAAGAAAACTTCTGCAGTGCAAAATTGATTATTGTGTATTATTTCTTAAGTAAACTTAATTTTCAAAATGCAATTTCAAAAGTTATTCTCAATTATTTTATGTATTTCAAGAGGAGTGGAACACTGTAGTCAGGCACAGTACTAAAAATTAATAGAAAATCCGCTTATAGTGCAACTATTCAGAATTTATCCAAAGTATTCAAGATGTATTTAACTTGATAAAAACATGGAGGAATTTGTGGCTTTGGCTTTTAATGGTGGCTGAAAGTTGGAGTCTATTTTTAAAAATGTGCTTAGAAAAGGCAGTGCAACAAAATAAAAGCAAAGGTCCAAAAGAACCTCAGTAAATGTTCTCACAATCCAGATACAGAGAGACTATTGCTTTTGACACTCTGACCCCAGAAGTTATTACTCCTTCACCAACCTTTATATCTGTGGAAACTTACAGTAGGATTGGTTTCTTCTTAAAATAAATAAGGTATATTCAGATGATGGTAAAGTTACTGATGCTAAAGACTTTATAATAAATAAATCTTTATAATATAGGAAGTCCTAATATATATAAAGACTTCTTTTGGTAATATCATTTTTATCACTTGCACAGAAGAAACAAATAAGGCTTTAGAAAAATATTACCCTTTTTTTAAACATTTTAATATGCCTTTAGGTACCCACACGTATTTGGTTTTAATTCATGAAAAGTGCCCAAAAACCTTAGGAAAGATCTATTTTTCTCAAGTTTTACAACATTCCTGGCATCATGTGGGTGTGAGGAAAAAAAAAATCAATACTGACTACTTGAAAAGCTATAAATGTAATTTCTCTGCTTAAAAAACAAGGGAAGGGAGGAAAGAAGGACCAAAATATCTCAAAATGGTTTCATAAATGATTCATTTTAAAACATTAGTCCAAGGGTTTTACTGATTCAGGATTAAAGATTTTTTTTTACCACAGATACTTTAAAAAAGATATTCAGATACTCCCTCCTGATCACTCCATATCAGGCTATGATTTATCACAGTATTTAAGTTTAAATTTAAGTATACTGCACATTTACCCTGAGAATGTACTCCTGATTTAGGATCTTAAATAGTCATTAATCTAGTACCTCATAACACTGGTTTACTGGATTACAAAAACTGGCCATAATACTGGTAAATATTTGGGAAAATACACAGCTAATGTATGAGGCACATCCTATGTTCCATTCAAAGCTTAGAGGAAAGCAAATTCAGCTCATGCAAATGTGTGATAAGACATAAAAAGAAGTTTACAGATGACTTTTGGTCTTCGTTTTTTGGAAGATAAATCACAGTTTTGAAGCAACAAAATCTGAAACCCTATAATATAAACAAAGCCTCAAAAAAATCCTCCTCACAGCAGTGTATATAAAAAGTACTCATCAGATGAACATACCAGGGTCTTCTTTTGATCCTAAGTAGTCTTGACCTGTTCCTACTGTGACAGTAACTTCAAGATTAATATTTCAGTTTCAGATGCAGCATTTCACATACTACTGAGTTAACTAACTATCTTTTCAACTTGACCTTGCAAGACACAAAGTATGTGAAAGATCAGAAGCAATGGGAATCAACAGGATAAAGAAACAGAAATTCTGCTGTCTTGCTGCATTTTATCAGTCAGCATTTACCTAACATGCTCATCAACCAGGGATCAGAAAGATAGGTGCATCAATGGATCATAGTTCAAAAGCCTAAAATTTAACTTCTGAGCATACTCATCCTAATTCACTGCCAAAGTTAAACTGATTTTGTACTGGATCTGGCTAGGATGGAGTTAAATTTCTTCACAGCAGACTCCATGTTGCTGGTTTTGGACTTTTTTTCTGAAACAGTGTTGATAACATACCAGTTTGGCTAGTGCTGAACAGGGCTTGCACAGCCTCAGGTCTTTCCCTGTTTCTGACTATGACCCCACGGAGAGTAGAGTGGGGCTGTGCAAGAAGCTGGGAGGGATACACAGTCAGGACAGCTGAGCCAAATTGACCAAAGGGATATGCTCTTCCATATGACATTGTGCTCTTGAGGAAAGAAGGAGGAAAGAGAGATGTTCAGTGTTTTGGCATTTGTCTTCTCAAGTAACTGCTATGCTGAGGCTCTGCTTTCTAGGAAGTGGCTAAAAATCTGACTGTCAACGGGAGGTTGTGAAAAAATATCTAATTTTGCTTTGTTTCAGTGCACAGCTCTTGCTTCACTTGTTAAACTTTCTTCTTAAGTTTTTCTCATTTTACTTTTCTGATCATCTCCTATACCCTACTGAGGAACAAGTAATTGAGAGATTGGCACATGCCTACTGCTGGCTGGGCTCAGCCCACCATAGGATTCTTTTTGGAACTAAATGGCCACATTAAGAAGAAACAAAATACTAAGTCATTCATGATTGTCCCAGACTTCATAAGGATGAGGAAGGTGGGCAGAACAGCTATGTGTTCCATTCAGAATTTGGAACCTCCAGTACTGTATAATACAGTGTTCCTACAAGCTTATTGGCCTACAGATGTTTAAGGAGCTAACAGGCTTTATGTCCCTCTTTTGCAGCTGTATTTTTACTCAGTAGTAAAGATCGTGGCTGGCATTTTTTATTATCTTCTTCATTTTGATAACTTCTCCTTTTTCCTTCATCTACATTACAAAATTCACTTTAACATCCTTAATTTCATTTTTAAATTTTATTTTATCCGTTTCTGCTTATCCTCTCATTCTATCCTTTTCTTCCCATAGCATCTCAGGCTGCAGTGCAGCAGACAGATTGGAGTTATACTTTTTAACTTACATTGATACTCTTAATAGCTCTTTAAAGCTAACAACTTGAGTGGAGCTACTGTTATTGTCCAAAGCCATCATGACACTTTGGTAGATTAAGTCATAAAAAACACCTATGCAATCACCCACAACCATCATCAATTCCCTTTGATAACACAAAAGTGGAAGAAATTTGCAGGAAATCTGTCAGTTCTAAGATCCCTCCATTTAGTACAGCAAGCAACATTTAAAGGATTCCTCACAAAGTCATAGCAACTCACTCCTAAAAGTTTTGATGCTTTTATTATGACTCTTTCTTTCTCCATTTAACTCCTGTCACTAACTACTTCAGAAAAGAACACATTTCACAAAGTAAATACAAAAGACATCTTTTAGAAAAGCATTCTAAATGGCGAAAAAGAAGTTGCAAGACACAAATAATGTTATATCTGTGCAGAAGAGAAATCAAGCTTAGAAGAATTTGCAACATTCTTTGATTGGAAAAGCTATTTCTGATGTTTTGCATACAGCTAGTCCAAATGAAAATAAACACAAACAGAAACACCTACAGTTCTAGTGCTTCATGCACAGACTAATACAAGCAGTTATTATTCAGTGCTGATTTAATGACTGAAATAAAATAAACACTGCTGCAGATTAAAAATACTATTTCCTTGTGTATGAAGTACTCAAATGTGCACCAATAACTTACTTGCCTTTGCATCTTCTATTCTGCCAATCACTGAATGCCTCACCCACTACATTTTTGCATTTAAAAAGAGAAAGTAGAGAAGACAAAACGTTCATCCTCAGTGATTCAAAGACTTGAGTGTGTACTTCTATTGGCACTGATTTCAAGTAAAATATGCCAGTTAACAGGAGTGGTGGGTGTCAAGCACCATTTTGTTGGACCTTGGCTCTACACAATCAAACAAGGAAAGGTATCATATATCAAGACTGAACAAAGTGACTAAATTACAAGCAGTCCTTTGGCAAACAATTATTATAATGGATTTCTATGAATGCAAAAACAAAGTATTGTAGACTCATACGATCATTTCAATGTAAAGTAAAATTGACACTCGAATTCAGCAAATAGTAATAGCAGTATTAGCAATCACCTACACATCAAGAAACTTTGATGATTGAAGTTCCTCTTCAGCTGAAAAACGAGATACGAAGAGCCAAATGACCCTTGTAAGAACTTTACTCATATCCAGAAGCTAAACTAGAAAACTTTGAAAAGCTGCAATTTGTTTCTACCCATGAATAACTCTTCACTCCTACAGACTTAAGAAGCCAAAGTTCCTTCAATGTCTTCTTCAATGCTCCCATCAACTTTTCTGGAATTGGGCCCAGGGCAGAAGTTGTAACCCTACATCAGCTGATTTCTTAGAGAATACCTCTTTGTGATTGCAGCTACTATTCACAAGAGAGTTGTGCATAACCTGGAATCAGTCACTGAGCAACACAGAGGAAACAAAATTTCAGCTTTCTCTACTGCATACCTTGTTTTGATTCCTGACCTTCCAGTTTGCTGTCTTCTCTCAGAGAAGAAGTTGAGTCTATACTGTTGTCCTGTCTGGAAAAAATTAAGAACACACTGTAACCAGCATAACTCACAATTTAATGTAACTTTTTAAAGAAACTAAAGAAATTATGAGGTGGTAGGCCAATAAGCCCACTGCAAGGAATCAAGGCAGAAGGAACATACAGAGTGCTAATCTGAGCAATTGAAAACAAACCTTTTTTTGCTTTGCCTAGTAATACACAAGCATAAAGCAATTATTTCCACTACACCCTAGCCTTTCAGAGTAACTGTCCTCAGTGGTTACAGCTGAGGAACCACAGCTTCTCATATTAGGAGCTTTTCACTAAAACTCAACATAAATTGTCACACAGTTAAACCATTTGAAAAAACAATAGTTTCTGCTGCATTCAAATGCTATTTACTGTTTTACTTTGAAAGTAAAAAGTTACTTTCATGAAGTTATAATTAGCCCACCACTACCTACCTCTCCAACACCACAATCTCATGGTTTCACAAAAGGATACTTTTAAAAATTAAACTGCAAGTAAGTTGTCATATTGTATCCAGTACCTGCATTTCTCCAGTCCATCTATTTAAAGATTTCTACCCTTGACTTGTAGTGTTTCAATTGTTTTATACAAGGGATAAGGAAGAGACACTTCTGTGAAATGTTCATGTACTCCACACACTTCACACCTACTAGTTATAAAAACTACGAAAATACAGTGACACATGCAGGAAGGACACAAGTGGAAGGACCCAGCAGCACAGCAGGAGTTCAAATGCCACGTTTAGTGAGCATTTTAAAAGTAGAATTGCCCGTTTCCTAAACTGGTACTGCTGGTGTGGCACTGATTTCATATATAGTAATATGGAATCAATGGAACTATCTTGCCTGTGGGAGCTTAACAACACTATAAAAAGGAAGCAGTACTCTGGCATCACAGATGTAAATACGATGACTAACAACTTGTTTTTCAGTAGTGGCCTTAAGGGTCTTCCTAATATCGAATATTGATCTACTTTCCCCATGCTCTCCAAGTTGTTTTTTTTTCCTAGGTGTTCAACATTTATCTCATGGAGGAGAACACTGTAATACTCCTGGACATCTTGGTGTGACAGGCAGTTATTTTCACTTCTATTTCCTTTTCTGAAGTAGCAAAGGCTACAAATCAACAAATTCTTCTTTTTCTCCCACTTTTTTTAGCCACTGGAAAATAAATGTGTAAAGTAGTAAGCAATAATTGACTATGGAAAATGTGATCTATTTTCATAATGCATGCAGCACGCCAAAAAATAGATTTTTTAATGTTTTGCACCTTAATAGAAGACAGACAAATGTACTGCCCAACGCCATTACAATAAACCGAGAATAGACTATCTACTGTGATGAATTTTTCTCAGAACTCAGTGGTATCCTTTCAGCTTGTTTTCCTACTTGGTCAATTCAACTGGAAACTACAAAGAATGAAAAATGTACACTTCTTCCAGGATTTTTCAATGTCATGCATCAGTATGCATATGCCTGTAATTCACCCTCAAACCTCAGGCTAGTCTAGCCAACAAGTAGGACGAGAGGTCTGGGAGTAAGGTGTCAGATAGACTGGAAAATCAGAAGGTGAATTCCTAAAATACACCAGGCCCTGCAAGAAGGCAAATTCAGGGACCTTAATGGAGCACTAGACACCCAGAGATCAACAGTTTGATTGTCAGCTACTGGGGACAATCACAGGCCTGTACCTGCCATTGGACAGGCCTAAGTGCACTAGGAGGTCTGAGCGGCAGCTAGAGTGGGGATACAAACCTTGTGGGCTTGTGTGCCAGCAACTAGGGAGAGCTGTGGATCTAGTTCAGCTATCTGGAAGGAACAATTTGATTTTTTTTTTTTTTTTTTTTTTGGTAAACAACTCCTAGCAATTTGTTATACTTAGTCACCTAACTCTTGACCAAAATAAGGTTGTGATATACCCCTTAGCAGAAGCTGCTTGGGCTGCCCCTGCTCCTACCCCATCCTCCTTCATGCACATGGTTCATCATTTTGAATTGAGTAGTCAGCTCTGCACTGGACAGCAATATGTCACCAGAAAAAGCTCGAGCTTGCACCAGTAGTATCAGGCAATAAATTTCACATCTCTGGTACCACCTTGAGATCTGATGAGGAATTATAATCACCTCTTTGACAGAAAGCTCAGTGACCTCTACAGTTCAAACAATGGCTGTGAAATTATCTACACCCATTTTAACATCCATGTAAAAAGAAATTATCAACTGAAAAAATTCACACATTGAAACTTGTTGTAAAGTTTCCTCCTGTTGCCTTCACTCTATCAATGATTATACCAAAACCACATTCCATAAAAGACTACCTTCTGTCAGCAAAAGAATTTTTAGAACCCACAAGTACTTTAACAGCCCATTTTACTCTCTCAGAATTGACAGGATTGGACTGTATTGCTGGTGAACCTCTGTGACTTCCTTTCACAGGTAGGCATTTTGCACCATCTAGTGGTCCACCAGATGCATTTCAGTCCAGTTCAGTTTCGCTTTCAATTTGTTAACCTTGTTTAATTCGTTTCCTAGTGAAAAATATTTTTTCCCTAATTATCTATACTGTGGTTTAGATTTAAAAAGAGGTAGCACAATATCTTGTCTTCAAACAACGGGAGCAGAAGATACGCTAATCTAAAATTAAGGGACAGTATACAAATTTAATACCCTCTTCTTTCATGCTATGCTAGTGACAACAGTAATTTGGAGTTCCCTACTTTTATCAGTCTTTAAAGATACTTCTCCCTCAGGGATGACAGTTAAGTTCAAAGTCCCTCTTCCAAGCAATAAACTCAGCATTTTTAATTTATTTTTTTAAACAGAACAATTTCACATTATGATCTTTTCAGCAGAAAGAAGCTAATTACAGTTACAGTTTGTTGATTACAAATGTTGTAAATTAAATTTACCTTGTTTTATGTAGAGCATACATTTCATATTGGCATGCTCCACACTAGCGCAATGCTTACCTGGGTTCACACATGTGGGTTCTGTATACAATTTGTTACAGGAATTTGCATAGTTGTCAAAGTCATTTGGGTTTGAGGGTGAATTGGTACCACAACTCCAGTAGATTATGCAAAGTGAGGTAAGACAGCAGCACAGGTTAGGAAAAGGGCTATTGGCCATAGGCGTGGATGGCTAAGGATTAAGACAGTAGCACTGCAGTACTGGTGTCTGGGATACCAAGTTTCAGTGGTAACTGGGGTTGGAGACCAGGAGAGAAAGTTTTGCAAGGGAAAAAAATATCTTAATGAAGTGGACTAGAAGAAAGTCTGAAAACATGAGAGACAGTCGTGGTGATACTTTCTTTACAGGGCTTTCAATAATCACTAAGAAACATTCACCTAAATCTCCTGTGTGAGGCTTGAGTTCAGTATCTCTCCTATTCTTGACATAAAGATGATGCACTGTCATGAATTAAAATTTGCCTTTGCACTTAGTTCCAAGTCTAAAAAACATTTCTACAATCCCAAGTCCTTGTAAGATTCTTGCCAATTTTGTTCCAAGGACAGTTTTCAATGACAAATTAGAACTAAAATAATTATCAGGAAGCAATTAAAAAAAGGGGAAAAAAGTTCTTATAAAGTAGTGTTCCTTAAGAAAGGTATCTCAAATGACAGATGCTAATCAAATAGTTTAATGAGCCATGAAAATTCCCTCAGTCCTGCTACAGGTGGTGTTTGAGGACACCACAGGAACAGAAGACACTGAACCAAATTAGCCAAATGCCAATGTATCTGTTCAGTGACTCATGTAGCCTGTTGTTTCAGTGATTCCAAAAGGTGAAGATAACCAAATTGTCCCACTGGGGTAAATACCACATGGCAGTTCCATGCTTGTGAACAGCCCAGTACCCAGGAGTACATGTTAAAACAAGGCAAAACTTTAAACTGCCAACCTTTCTAAAAGAAAACAAGCAGAAACTGCACTTATGACTGCAAAGCCTATAAATTCTTTAAAGAGCAAATATTAAACTTCAAATTTTCATTCAGTGAAAAAAATAAGCCCATTAAAGTTTTGAAAGCAAAAGGTCATTTACTTTCACACATGTGAGCATCTGATCACTATAATAATACTAGCATGCTTGTTCTTTCAATTATGTTTTATTATTACAGTATATAACTTACTCTCATTCCTTCTGCTGAAGGATATTTAAATAGCCAATTCAGGTAACAGGAAAGAAATAGCTCAAGAACATACCTCTTGAATGAGGAGGGAAGAATGACTATTTGGTTTCCCAAGGCATTATTTGGCTCCTTTCAAATAAGTATCTGAAATTTAATTGGAAGCTTCATATACAGAAATTCTCCTGGTTTAATGGTACTCCATTGCAGATGGTAACACAGAAACAGTAACAAAAATCTGAGAACTGCATAGACAAAAATCTATACAGAGCTCACAAATAATGAAGTAATTTATTGCAACAGCAATTTCCAGTTACTGTCAAACATAGGCCCTGCCTCTTCAGTTCTTCTGCACAGTTATTGCAGGATTTCTAGTGCTTGACATAGAAGAAGCTAGTGACAAAAGAGCAAATCTTTTACATGTTAATGGAAGCATGTGAAGCTTTTATAGAGCTGAAATTTAGGAAAAAGCCCCAGGACTTCCTCTTTTGGTGGCAGAATGAGGACATGTGCAAGAAAAAAAAAAGGAAGATTCAATTTACAATTAGATGTGATACCACCCAAAAGCATCAGATAAAGATCTGAATTCTGCAATTTTCCCTGTACCTGGAGAAACTTCTCTAAATCCCTGCTACTTTTAGCTGTTGGAGACAGGAAGCAGGTCTTTAGAGACAGAGAGTCATTTGCCTATTTTAGGGGAAAAAAAAGACACAGTTCAAACTATACCCTTCTAAGGAATCCTGTAAATTTTAATACACTTATAATTTCTTGGGATGTCTGATTTAAACTTTCTGGATATCTGTTGATATATGCATATTCCTGAGGTATGCCTGTTTGTTTTTTTTTTTTAAGGACAAAAATGAAAAAAACAAATTGATGTTTCCATCAGCTAATACATTTTGAATTACAGTAAGACTTGCTATTCACTTTTTCACTTTCCACATTTACACTTCCACGAAAACAACTAATACAAGTCAGATTTAAAACAAAAAAGCCCTAATGCTTTACTTTTGTAACATTAATAGAATGCAGGAAAAAGAAGTCAATCACACAAAAACCACAGGTAATGAAGACAATCTAGGAAGAACCAACAATGAGAATACAAACAGAGAAACTGCCTTTTTTGTTATGAAAAGTCTTTTCTCTTCCAAGAGAAGACAAATTCACCCACTTAAACTCAGACTATAATTATAAATACACTAATGATTACAAACAACTGAAATTGTTAGCAATGCAATTTTAACTATTTTTTCATGATTGCATGTTTGGCTTCTCTGCTGGCTGACTTGTTGCTGAAACACATTTTCTGAAGTTTTGCAAACTTGCATTTATAATTATTTACACACCGGTTGCAAAGAAGCTACCCTAATGCCCAAAGATTAGCCCTAACTACTAAAAAGGGCTTGTTACCATTTACACTTGTAAAAGCATAATACTGGTCTACTCACTGAGTGCTGGACTTTAAGATTAACATAAAACCTTAATTTTCTTTGTTTCCTCCTACCCCTATATTTTTCTACCATCCAAACGGCTTTCCTATTTTGGTTTTTTATAATGCTGGCACACAGCTGAACCCATAAGCCATGGTTCTCAGATAGCACCCATGTGTGTAGCATGCTACTTTTTAAAGGCAGAAGAAAAGCCACAATTCCTAAACCAACATACCTTGCCTGCCCAGTTTGAAGGGGTCTGAAATCTTAAACCCTCAGGATAGAAACAGAGATACAAAAGCAGGGGGCATCTCAAGCATTGTTTGCAAAAGGAAGCAATCTGCTCCATAACTATGATCAACATCTCTCATTCTTTTACTTTTTTAAAACACAATTTTTTCTTGATTTTGCTGTTAGTTAGTGAAACCTTCCTACTTGACATGGGTAAATAGGTTAAGTGTCTTCAGATATCCACTAGTTAAAAATGGTAAATCCTTCTTGCTTTTCTTATTTTGTTGTTTTATCCATTAATTTCCTCTTTTTAGATTTTTACCATCTCAAATAATTTTCATATAAGCAAGAATTTACCCAATCTACTGTAACTAAGGGTCATAAATACACATCTCAACATTAGCAAACACGCTGCAGACACAGACCCACCTCACTAAAACCTAGCAGCACTAATCCTGCCATAACTCTTGAAGATAAAGAACATTTAATGTATTTTGCAATAGTAAAGAGCTTGTGAATTAGGCCTTAAAAAAAAAAACAATAAATCCATCATATAATTTCTCCAGGAATCAAAACCCTGGGGCATTTTTCATAGTTTATTTAGCCAAAAAGTTTGTCTTCTCATTCTATTTAGAAGTTTGCTGGCAAAACATCAATCACTTAATAGAGACTCCTTTACATAAAGAGACCATATATTTAGCATATTTTGTAATTTTTGATTTTTCTATTTGCTTTTTTAAACAGTCAGCAGAGAGAAATGTCCAAAATAAGAAAACTAACCTTCATGTGTCCTAATAAAGACCCTATTCACAGATCATGTAAACAACAAATAGCAAAGAGGGATACAGTAACAAATGGGCTCCAAATGGAACCTCAAAAGGAATAGTGTCAGAGGGTATGAAAACTGTATAATGAGAAAAAAAATGAAACATAATTTAGTATCACTCTGTTTCCTAGTATGTTTATATGATGAGATGTGATCAAAGAAAATTACTTCATTCAATAACTGCATAGCCTGCTCTGAATCGAAGACAGAATCAGAAGTTAGGTCTCCATTAAATAAAAATACTGACCAGAATGTGAAATTTGGATTACTACCAGCAGTAATTTAGATTACTGTTACTACTACTGTTCCTATTCAGTAGGTTTAGATAAACCAACAAAACCAGCAGCTAAGAGGTACTTGAATCTGCCCAACATTAGTGTATTGTCTTGTACTCAAAGATTTATTAAGTGTGCATTGAATCTGTGGACCAGCTGAAACCAGGTCAGTGCTGAAAACATAAAAGCTTATTCATCTTCTAGAAGCAAATTAGCCTCCTAAGATTTGTTGTGTTGTGAGTGATAACTAGTAACTTTCTTTTCCCCTTCACTACTATCAAACAGGTGAACTCTTTCTGACAAAAAAAATGGTCTTAAAAAAACAGACAAGCATTTTAAGAAAACGTTAAAAAGTGTTGGCCTCTACAAAACTGACAGATGTCAAGAATAAGAAACCGGAAGCCTCTGCTGTTGAGAAGCCTCTGTTCTTGATACGCTACATTCTATATCATCCCTAACAGAGGACACCGAGTGTCAGTGCTGCTTCAGCTGGGGCAGGATGAAGGACCAGAAAGAAAATGGAAGGGATAAATCTCAGCTGAAATGAAAACACACTTACAAAATTCACTGACCTAAGTGGGAAGTGGTTACTCAAACCTGCTTTTGCTCACACAAAGAGAGTTAACCTACATCAACAGCCCGCTGTTGCAGGCTACAAGTGTGAACGTTTAATTACCACAATTCAGCTGATGGGTGGTATGCCACTATGAACCCGGTTCTGTGCTCAAGACACATTTAATGTTATAAAGTGACAAATTCATTTTTGTAAGTTTAGTGCTTGCTGATGGTCACAGCTAACTGTCATTCAGCTAAAGTAATTACTTCATTAAGGATATAGCACTAGGGTTTTTCAATTATATATTTGATCATTTCTCATGAAAAACCTCTGTACTGTTCAGTCTTCTTAAAGTAAGTTTAAGTGTTTTGTCTTTTACTCACTGACTGACTGAATCATCTCCAGTCTTGTCTCCTCCATTTGTCTCCTCGTCAGTATCAGAATCAGCTCCCATCCTGCCTAGATATACACAGTTTCAGACATGAAAATTTAGGAAGGTGATATAATTAATACTACATAATTAGGTTTACTCTTAATTATTAACTCTATTACAATCAGCAGAAGAGGATTTTTTTCCCAGTTAAAGCATAAGTTCTAAAATTAGACTTAGTCAAAACCAAAACCCTTATTTGTGAGCTTTCTGCTAGCCACATGGTTGACATTTTTCATTTGTACTGTATTACAAAAAAACTTATTAGGTGTTCCTAGCACAATACTATAGGTGCTAAGCACAGGAGACAGAATTAACAGCATGATACTCCACAACATTCAAGACTTGAAGAGTTCCACTTCACTGAGAAGACAACAATATGTTTACAAATAACTTCTATAGCCTTTAAATGTCAAGTGGAAATTCAATAAAATAACAAAAAGCTGGAATGTCATATTCTTAATCCAAGTACATGAACTGTGTGTCTTGATGGAACGGAGGGATTATGTACACACTAATACATACTTAACAGCGTGTGTAAAGATATATAAGTATATAAAGCAGCTAGAAAGAGTGTAAATCCTGTTGAGGCAGACTATTCTCTGGTGTATAGTGGAGCTTAAAAGTTTAATTCATACCTTCAAGTATCTTCAACAGGTTTTTTTCAGATAACAGCTCCAACTGCTCCATGCAAAGTCTTTTGATTTCATCCATGGAACAGTTCTAAGAAAACAGATAAGACAGACAACAAACTACTAAAAAATTCTGAGAAAAGAGTAATTATAAACATAAGTAGTACTCCAACCGTAATGAATGAAGAGTTAACTTGGATTGCAAGCCCCTCTCATGTCATCTGCATTGATGCAACTGCTGTAGAAAACTAGATGTTCCAGTTTTGACAACTACCAGAAATAGTATATTTGTAGTTTTTCTATGAAAAATTAAGCAATACACAGTATCAGTTACTTGATGTGTGGCTGGGAGTTTCCACTGCAGCTGCAACACTGAGCATTATAAATACCAGACCATGTGTGTGAAGCATGGGACAGCAAACAACTGCAGACCTGATTACTCCTAATTCTCCATCAGTTGAGAGGAAGTGGATGACATAATTAAGCACGCAAAGACCAGAGCCAACTGTTGAATACAAGTTTACAAACTGAAGAAAATACTGCTACTGACAACACACAGTTGCGTATCACAACACTGAAAATAAAAGAAGTAGGTAAACTGTGATTCATCTCTCATGCTCAATACATCTGTCATACCTCTGGTGATATAATGCTGTAATTCTGCACTTTCAAACCAGCTATGACACCACATACAAGTACCAAAATTAAGAAGTGCTGAACATATTGTAACACTCACAAACCCACAGTAGGTTTGGTTCTATACCATGAGGCGATTTCCTTACAAACTCAGTAATGTCTTTGCTTTCGGCTGCTCGACCTCTTTTGTTCTCCCAGAGATGAGAAATGGATGAGACTGTATGCAATTCTGTATGTGTTTAAAATGAAGAAATCCTGTCTCACTTATATTAATAGCACAACTCATTCAGACAAAAACTAGAGACAAAAATTTTAAAACTATTAACATCACACAAATGGCACTTCTGTAGAGACACCTGCAGTGTCTTCTTCTGTACAGACTGCTAGTTTATTTTTTTCTATGTCCTGCTGTTCACAAGATTCAAAAGGCATATGTTCAAAGCCAGTAAAACTCTAGCTTTAGTCCACAGAAGTTACAGCTTCAGAAGCTGTTTATCAATACGGGGTTTTATTTTCTTATCTCAGACACTACTTTTATGTCATACAAAGAAAATCAGATGAATCAAACAGAAATCAACAATTTATTAAAAAATCATCATATTAATTAGTGAACAACATTACTGAATTTACTCTTTGCAGCTATGAAATTCCTTTTGCATTTAACTGAACAGTACAGAGAGACAGTATAAAAATAAGCCTACAGTTCAGCAACAGCTGAGCAGTCTAAAAAGTAGTAATCAAGACTAGACTTGAGAGATAAACATGCTTTGTTACACAAGCATTCAAGATCATAACAAGAATATCAACGTCAAGTTTATTTCGGTACCTTTAAAGTATCAGGCAGCATCCTCTGTAGTTTCTTCTCCCCTATGACACAGAAACACTGTTGAAGCATTTCCTTTTTGTCCGCAATGTAGAAACTGACAGGTTTGAGTGACACTGTGAGATCTAATCCTCCTTCTTCTACATCACTGGGTTGTTCAGGTTCTTCCACTTTTTCTCCAGATGGTACATTGCATTTTGCTTCCTAAAATCAAGGAGGGTAAATATTGTTTTCACATTTTTTAGTGAATCAGAGAAGAAACTTACAGCTTCACTTGTGCTTGCAATAGTTCTCCCTTCATAATTGCAAGGTACATGTTAGTGTGGACTTCTCAGGTTCCAAACAGCGTTTCATACTGCAAAGTAACCGCACTACAGAAGCTACATTTTTGATTACTGAAACCATCCTCATGCTAGGGAAATTTTTTAAATCTTCAAGAGGCAAAGAGTACTTGTAAACATTAACTGGGAAATATCTGCAAACACCTAGCTGCTGCTTACATATGAAAGCACACTTTAAAGCAGAAGAAATCCATCCCTTTGATTTGCTGTGCAATTAAATCACAAGAGTTCATCATTTAAAGCTACCCTGCTAAGATGGAAATTGGCATATAATTCCCCGTGTGACATAGTCTTCAGAGAACAAAGGTGGAGTTAATATTAGGAAATATATCTTCTATACATCATAGATTACTTCTATGATATAATAATAATAATAATAATAATAATAATAATAATAATAATAATAATAAACAACCAGCTAGAAATATATTTTGAAAGCCTCAGAATTCACTCAGACGTGCATGTACTCGCAGTTTTGTACTCGCACTCAAACACCACCTTGAGCAGACTCACAGTGCCACAAGCGCGAGAATCACGATCAGGGACACCCCTGGGCTTGTGCCCACATCCCTTATACCCGGGAAAACACAGACCGGTCTCTCGAGGCGGTCCGGCCCGTGCCTGCCATGGTGCCTGTGCCGCGCACCTCTCCGGCCGCTCTCTTTGCAGCCGCACCGAGGGGCCGCGAACGAACCCCCCGGCCCGGTGCCTGTGCCGCCAGCCACTCCCAGGCGGCCTTCCCGCAGCCATCCCACGGCACAGAAAACATGCAGGCCTCTGCTGCCGTAGCGGGGTCGGGTCGAGACGCGCCCGGGACAGCAGGGGAGGGACGGCACCGCGCAGACCCCCGGAGCGCCCGCGATACCTCCAGGGCATCGTGGGTGGACTCGGTGCTCCGCCGCTTCCTGTCGCTGCCGTCCGGCCCCGGGGCTCCCTCCGGGCAGCAGGATCGCGAGCGGCGCCGCTTCTTCTCCTTGGAAGACTTCCTGCCCGGCATCGCCGCGGTGACACGGCGCGCCCGGGGCCGCGCCGCGGCGGGGAGGGGCGGGGCGAGGGGGCGCTTCCGGCAGCGGGAGCGCCCAGCGCCCCCTGCCGGCGGGCGGGACCGGCCCGCAGGAGCCGCGGCCTCCGCGGGGATCCCCGCCCGGCCCCCGGCCCCGGTGCGCCCCCCGGGCAGGGCCGCGCCGCGCCCCCGCCGACGGAGCTTTGCGGAGCCACCGCACCGCCGGCTTTCGGAGTGGCCTGGGGATGTTTGTGTTGTTTCGGTTGCGTGGTTTCTTGGCGTTAGCGGGGTGACGCTAAAACTGTTTACAAACGTGGGCAGTCCACCCATTCGCTCAAGTATCTTTGATCTAGGGTCTAGAAAACATGTCTCTCACGAGGAGCGGCTGAGGGAACTGGGTTTGTTTAGTCTCGAGGAGGATCGGGGGGGGGGGGGGACCTCGTCGCTCTCTACAACCCCTGAAAGGAGGTTGTAGCCAGGTGGGGACCAGTTTCTTCTGCTGTGCCTGCAGTGAGAGGACAAGAGGAAATGGCCTTAAGCTGAGACAGAGCACATTCAGGTTAGATATTAGGAAAAAAAAAAACCAAAAACAAAACCAAAAAAGAATCATTCCTAGCGTGGTGAGGCATTGGAATACGTTTCCCGGGGAGGCGGTGGAGTCGCCATTCCTGGAGGTGTTCAAGATCTTCAAGTTCTCTCCCAGCTTTGATAATTCTATGATGATTCCATTGTCTGTAACTACTGTTTAATGCTGACCTTTTCCCTGTCTTTCAACCTGTTTCAGCAGTGCAAGGACCTGCATACTTTTCCCTTGCCGGCTCTTTAGCATTGCCAATAACTCTGGAAAAACAGTAACTTCAGTTTTACTGTGATACTTCATGAGTATTGGAGAAGTGAGACACTAGTTTTTTTCAGGGGATGCAAACAATTAGGAATCACAGCAGAGAAGCCTGTTAAAGGCAGGTGATCACTCTGTGCAATTCAGTAAGACACTGATCAGCCTTCAGCCACCCACCACCAAGATTAGCTATAGAGGGAATTAGGTCGGTTATCCTAAGGAGGACAGTTAGTTTAAAATGAAGACCAGGGTAGAAAAATGTCCATCATTACACAGAACGAATTGTATTAAGAACCTCCTTTTCTGCGCAGAGATATGCAATGATTTTTCTACTTTATTTAATGCACTGGAGTCTCCATTCTTCTGTGTCTGTTTTGTTTCCCAGATTCAAACATGTTGCCTTTTAGTTTGTTACTATCCATACTGTGTTGGATCTTCATCAAATGGGTGGTATTGACCCATTTGCTGAATGCAAGTTGTACAAAGCTAGTGGTGATCAACAGTGCTGTCTTCAGATAATATATAATGCATGGGCTGACATTGTTTTCCAAAAGGGTTAGAAGACTTTATTAACTACCATCTGTTCTTTTTTCAGCAAGTGTGAGTCCCTGCAGAGGTGGATAGTGTCAGAATTGACCCTGATTAGTCTGTGTTGTTAGATTACCTGGATGGGTGGGAATAGATCATCATATTTATCATCAGAAAATGACTGCCATAGTGTACTCTGAAGATGGCAGAGGTAATGTAATTAAGAAACATTAATGTGGGGTCTGTGAGTTTGAGATGAAAATGGGATCCCTTGAGCAACTATGAAGAAAATAAAAGGTTAAGTAGTGTATGCTTAGGCATGCAAACTGTGTTTTCAATAAATGCAGCACCTACTCATACAGAATACAGAAGCTAACTGGGCATGCTGATAAAAAGATTTCTGATCACAGGCTTCAAATTCTACTGTCAAAAAGGGTAGTTCATATTGAATGCCTTTTTTTTTCTATGTGTTTGATACAGATCAACAGTGGTGTGGTCCACATTTGCAAATTTATCTTTGCAATTGGAAAGTCTAGAAACAAAATTTCCCACCAAAATTGAAAGCTCAATCTCTTCAGGGAATAAACATCAAAAATCCATTGGAAGAACAGGACATCTGAAAATACCCAGCTACTCTTTGGGCTGTTAACAGCTGCAATTTGTTGCTGAATGTTTTATTTCACAGTCTACTCGGTACAAATGTTGAAAAGCTGGGAAATGTCTGCTGTTCCTAGACTTTGGATTTGTTGACAGTTTAAAGAGAAAGAGACAAAAAGAGGAAAGTGATCACAGTATATAGTAGTGGATCACATTCAGCTAAGACAGGTTAACTATTTTTAAATAAAAAAACTTCATACAAATGGAACCAGCAGGTTGTAATATTTCCTAAAGCATTTAAATTTTCCTCTATAGTACTGATCTATGGTACTACTCTTTATAGATTATTTGAGCATATTACTTTATAAAGAAGTGACTGCATCCAAGGATTCATGAGTGTGTATTTCAATGTACAGTGCTTTTAATGAAATAGGTTTGCAGGCTGAAGTTAGTCTATTTGTCTGTAGCCTGAACACAACTGAGTAGCTAAAAGTCTGCATGATTAGATCTTGATGAGAGCGAGGTGCATCATAATAATGATTTATACATTACAAAACCTTTGTGATAAAAGTATCCCAATTTATGTGACTGTAGTGTCCATTTGTCTTGGCAAGTACAGCAGTTGGTGCTGACCTCAGTCAGTTTTGGTTCCTCTTTCAGTTCCCTAAGAAGGCATTTTATACAGTGTCCTGAGTTCTGGTCCAAGTCGATCCCAGGTATTTCCACTTTATAAAACCCAAGGCACACCTAACAACAAAGTTTTAGCGTGAGGTGCTATTATGTGCTGTTTCCTGTTCTAAAAGCTTCCATTCTAGCTTAAAAAGGGAAGCTTTGAAGCTGAGAAGCTTTGAATTCTTAGCAGAAGACACAACTTCTCTTTAAGGGGCTCTTGAAATCTCTCAAAACATACTTTCACTATCCCCCAATGAATCAAATCAAGAACATGCAACACACAGATCAACTCCTCTGAAGTTTACTGCTGTAGATGGCAAGCCAGCTCTGAGCTGTGTGATAGGGATGTATTTGTTTTCAACGTCCTCTGGTCTCAAAAGATTGTACACCATGGACATTGTGCCTGGCATGTTTCCTCATATAGGTTTAATATGCTTTCACTGAAACAGAAAATGCATCCTGGTGACATTCTTGAGGTGTTCTACTTGTTTGTGACCTCAGCAGCAGATTGTGTAGTACACTTACATGTATTTGTGTGTTTAGGTACATGCATGCTGACATAAACCACACTGGAGTTTTAAACAATGTAATTTAAAACACAAGCAATAGCAAACAATTTAGCAGCAGGTGTCTCTCTCCAAATATTCCTGGCCTGCGTTGTTTATCTTGCCTAACATGCATTGCTGCAGTCCCTAGAAGAAGGATTTTTTTCTGTGCCTCACCATTTCTCTGCAAATTTAATCAAATTTTGCAATATCTCTTAATATACCATTTCTTGGAGTTGCCAGAGTATGTTTATTAATATAAACATTAATTTTTGGTCTGGGAAATTCATGACAATTTTCACATGAAGAGATAACCTGTAACAGAGCAATCCCACAATAATAAAATCAAAATGTTAAGACAAGTATAGTTTTTTTAAAATAGCACATGTACAAACACAGTTATAGAGCACAACATTTAAAAGCTAAAGTTTCAAGAACAATTGTATAGTAGGCAACCAAAATTCAACAGACAGGCACATTATTTCACAGACATGTTTCCTAATGGTAGCTTCTTAGATGCTTTCCCAGGAAGAGGTTCATCTACTGAGCACTGTAAATCCCCAATAATCTCTTGGACTGCCTAATACATGAACTTTCAATGGATTAAATGAGAAAACCTGTGACTAAGACCATGATCAAGACTGTTTGTGAGGGTATGTATCTAGAAATCCATCAACAGTGGACACAGTACAAGTGTGCAGCTAAGAATCTGAGAAGGAAGATTTGGTGGAAGTAGTGTAGTAATTCAGACAGTTAGGTAGATACAGGAAAAAAAAAAGTCAGAGCTCTTGGTCACATAAACATTCATCTCTGGCAGACAGCGCAGGCAGGTATGTGCCAGAACTCATGCGCCAGAAAAGCTTGCCCATTTTTTTTTCATGTTTTCCATTCTATTAGTCTAATGAAAAATGTAACTGGAACATTGATCATCTTCAGTTCATCTTAATTCTAAATCCAAATGTAGTGCAGGAGTAGTGGAAGATAACATTCCCCTTTGGAGCTGAACATCTTAGATCTGCTGGAATGAGCTGTAAAATATTATTTTCCCTTTTCACAGTCACCACAGTTATGAAGTTAAAGCTATTTCATAAAACTTGACTTTATATACATACAGTTTAGAATATTTCAGTTGTAAAGAACCTGTAATGATCTAGTCCAACCACCTGACCAAAAGTTAAGGACATTGTCCAAACGCCTCCTAAACACAGACAGACAAGGGGTACTGGCCACATCTAGGAAGCCTCTTCAAGCTTCTGCTGTTCAGTGTGTTCTCTGCACCTAAATTTTTCTCCCATTCTTCAAGATGGCTTTTCTTCCTTTTAATCATCTTGTATTTTACAGCATACTTTCTGGAGTAAGACACTTGCTATGAATTGGTGGGATATTCCTGTCCTTAAAATTTAAAAAGTCAGGTAAAAGCTTCCATAGAAGTTCGTGCTATTTTACAAGCTGCAAGATACAAACTTGTGAGTGAAGCACATCATCCATATGCAATCAGAGATTCTACCCCTCTAAAAGTCCCCTAGTTCTGGGTTAAAAAACAGTAAGAGTCACAAACAGCTAGCTTTCAAAAGGAAGTGGAGAAAAGCTGATGAAAAAATTCCTTACCAGGCTATTTGACAAGGGTTAATATTAACCAATGTTAACTAATAAGCTTGTGAAATGCACTATTGAACTTAAGAGTTCTCAGGACCCCTTCTCTGCTGACAAAAAGCAAGTCAAGAAACAGACTCATCATGCTGAAACAAAGAAATGTGGTTGGAGTGGGTGTCAGAGTTGACAGTCACTAAGTAACAGGCATTTCCTACCTTTCCATCTAGATGACCTGTAAGTACTGTGATGGTTTGATCT